ACGCCGACCCACACACGCGCACACACACACGCACACGCGCACACACGCGCGCGTTACACACCGCAGCAGAAGCATCACACCACTCCATCAAACACACACACACACACCTCCTGCAGCGCCGTGGCCTTGTGTCCCGTCACCAGACGACACATGATGATGTGCTCCAGCAGAATGACTTGAAACGAGGACAGGATGGGGCTGCAGTCCAGCACTGACAAACACACATCAGAACATCAGTTATCACACACACACACACACACGTGAACACGAGTCTCTGTGATGTAACGCGACTCACTCTTCAGCTTCTCCAGCTGCATGAGGGCTTTATCCGTGTATTTCTGGGCTTTCTCCAGATACCCAGCCTGCATCGAGTGCATGACCGTCACCTGAAACACACACACACACACACACACACACACACACAAACACCTCACGCGTCTTTAGGGTTTGTTGACAAAGGCCTCTGGTCAGTAGGTGGTCAGTTCTCTTTCAGGGTCAGATTGTTAAAACACCGGATGCATAGCTGTATTTTTTCCACTGGCATAAGCTTGTTCACCAGCCGCAACCTAATGGGCTTTTACCCTCTGAAACATGTGATAAAATATCCGGGAGATCGGCGCAGACTTTTGTTAACTGTAAACAAGAGACTCTCGGCTGGCGGAGCCTCTAGGGCTTTCCTTCTAATCTCACTGAAAGAGTTGTGTCTCTCTCTGAGTGCAGCCGACCTCTGTAACTGTGCTGATTTTGTATGCTTGCAGTGGTTGGTGGGAAGTGTAGTTCAGAGAGACGATGCTCTCTATGCCAGAATGAAACAGAGGGAAATTGACGGGTATGACTCGATGTGGGATCCGATCTTTGCGGAGGATGCAGCATTAGGACTAGGCGATCAAAGACTTAAGGTACTGAATGGTACAAAAAATGCAATGGCTCTGCATCGATAACCAACCAGAAGTAAACACACCCAAGCTCTTTCTGTTTGATTCTTATGATTTCTTTGGATGACTTTCTGTTGTTCTTCCTTTAGAGTAATGATGGTAGCCATCATCATTTCCACCATTACGTTGTCCTGTCCTTTTTTCAGTTACCGTTTGCACCCGAGCCTTTTTCCCAGACGGCCATTCCTGTTTGATTGCCGAGCGTAGCATTTTGTGCAGTGGACGGCAGTTTATTAGTTTAATTAAAGGACCGTTCACACCACGGAGGATAACTTTAAGAAATTTTAATCATTCAAATTCTATGAGAATATAGGGCGGTCCACACTACAACTATAACGATAACAACACAGAAGAAAAGTGTTGGGGGTAACGCATTTCAAGTAACGTGATATGCATAATCAGTTTACTTTTTCAAGTAGCGCATTACTTTTAAACCAGTTACTTTTTCAAATTAAGTTGCCAAACACATAACTTTTCGGATTTTTTGTTATTTAAAAAAACTAATAATCAAGCCCAGGCCAGGTGACAATATGTAACACAAAAGAAACGTAACGCATCACTTTCCATAGAAGTAACTAAGTAACGCAATGTGTTACTTTTTTAATGAAGTAACTCAATACTGTAATGCATTACTTTTAAAACTAACTTTCCCCAACACTGCAGAAGAGTGATATTGTCGAAGTGATAAAAGCATTGGCAGCCAATCAGAATCCATCCTGCTTTAAATATATAACAATATAATTTTTAATATATCATTATAAACAAATGATATCATGCATTGCTGTGGACACTAACTGAATTATCCTTATACAGTAGATATCTTTACAGTAATCATTCTTGGTGTGAACGAGACTTCACTTTTGGGACATTCAGAGTACTGAATTTGATTTTGGGGTAATTACTTATAAACATAAATTAAGGTCTGTAAAATTTGAATAGCCAAGATTATTGTCTACATAAAAAGCAAGTGGCTGATTGTCAATAAAATGCAGATAAATGTCTATAATATAATAAAATTTAAAGCATGAGAGATATCAAACTTCTGTTACACAATACTGAATGTTCAAAGCAGAAAATCTATTGACAAGGTGAACAACACAATGGGGAACTAACACTTAATCTGCTTAGGTATTAGTTAGTCTTGATTATACGAATATATATACTGATAAATTGTTGTATCACTAGCCAGGTGCAACATTTGTCGCTTTGTTACAGTAGCATTAGCGCTTAGCAAACTGCATTTGCAATGTTTACATAGCTTTTGTAGGACAATTTTGATGATTATTAAGCAGCCTAAGATATAATAATGCTTAAAATGAAACTTTAAAATGAAAAATTAAATAAAATCAAATTTAAGCAAGCAAGGTTATCGTGGAAAGTGAAAGCGAGTGAATGCTTTCCTTCCCGCACCGGCCTTTCCTTACCTCCATCTCTGCAACCTGACTCCTCACTGTTGATCTAGACTTCTGCCTTCATGTTTTTGCCTTTTTTATTTGCATTTATTTGGCTGATTTATACGCAGACAGAATTTTAACCATGCCATGGTTGAAATTCGTGAATAATCCTGGATATTATTGCCTGAAACGCTTTTACTCCACAGCTTACCATGAGTGCAGTGTAACTATCGCTGACGATTCATTTACTATGGTTGCACTGCATTCATCATGGGTTTAAAGGGACAGTCCACTTCTTTTCAACATCTAGTTCATGAAATCCATCATTGTGCATCATTTCAACATGCAAAAACAGCATTACCCTGCGGTCTGTGATTTTAAAAGGCGGATTCCAGTTGCATAAAAAGTGTTTTGAAAATATCCTACCCACAGATCTCAGAAAAATGCTGGTTTTGCAAATATAATGTATAGAGGGCTCTTCAATAATACACCATTTGATGACAGTGATTCTTAACTAGACCTGATCCTACAATGTTGCTTCTCTCTCCAGATGACCCCCGATGATATCCGGCTGACCACGGTTGAGATGAAGAACGAAATGGGTCCGTCTGATCTTTCCCGGGGTCTGGGTGACCCGCGTAGCACCATGCTTGCCTACGACAGCTCCACCCTTCAGTACCGTCGAGCGGCCATGGCTCGGCAAAACTACGGCCACAGCGCGCTGGAGCGCCACGCCACCCAGAAGAAAAGTCGGCTGAGGAGACGGGCTTCCCAGCTCAAGGTCAACATCCCGGACCTGTCCGACGTCAACTCCATCGACAAGTGGTCGAGGATGATCTTCCCCACCGTGTTTTCCTTCTTCAACATAGTTTACTGGCTTTACTACGTGCATTAAAAGCATCCACAGAGCAGAACGGACCAAAAAAGAAAACAAAGAAGAGTTAAAAAAGAGAATAAAACAATACACCTTTTGCTGATTTATTTCAAATATATAGCGGAAAGACTGAGGAAAGACGGTCAAAGTTAAAAAAAATAAAAAATCAGGATTTTGTTTTTTCGTTCTAAAGACACAACCGGAGGAAAAAACACGCAGTACAGGGCTTGTTCCAGAGTTTCAATATACCACTTATATTTGTCATATGTAGATTACTCTGTGGATCAAATATTTATGCTTGTCTTTGCATATATTTTAAAGGATTTTTTTTTTGGGTTAGTACATGTTTACTTCGTAGCCAACTGCATCCGAGAAAGCTTTACAGAAGGAGTCGGTCGTGAAAGTCTATTTTCCTATAGTTAAGCTGTGTATCAGATATCTTTTAAAAGCATGCTTTGGTTTGTTTTCTTTATCTCTTGTAGAGAGCTGGAGCACAATGCATTTTCAGTTGACACTTTAAAGGTTCTTCTGTTCTTTCAAATGAGTTTGCAGGATGCAATGCAAAGACTCTGTCAGGAAGCCATACAGGGTATTTTCACAACAGGTCCTTTTACTATTGCTTTTTTTTTTTTTTGATGTTGGGCCAACAAGGAAACTCAGCCTTATTAAAACAAAGGTTTTATCTGATGCAGGGGATATATGAACATGCTGGGCCACGACGAAGGACGTATATGTGATCCCATGGACAAGGACGGACTGACATGGACCATTACCCTGGTGGTTGGACTGTGTCAACAGTACCTAGGCCGTGTAAATGCTAGACAGTCCTCATCTCTACACTGTATAAACTTTGTGTGGTGAGCCGCTGGCTGTTTAACATCTCTCGAGTGTTTCGAGATTGGATGAGGCGAGTGAATCTCAACGAAGAAAGACGCAATATATTTGTAAACCATTAACACTATCGATAGATATAAGCTGACAACTAGTAGCTGATATTACATCATGGTAAAAAAAAATAAAAATTCTGATTCAATAGTTGCAATATCAGATGTTAATGTTATGGTTCATTATTTAAACGTATTTTTTGGTGTATTAGATTTCTTAATGTCGAAGACTTTGGTTGATGAAAACAATCTTGCTTCTTAAAAATTGGGCGAAGGATCTGAATCTTTTTCAAAGGCCTCAAAGCGCACCAGTTGAATTTAAGCAAGAAACCGATCATTGCAACTCTGAAATTTATGGTTCTGTAACTATCACTTCAGTTCACTAACAATATGTGAAGGATCTGGATCATACAATCAAGGCATCTGTCAGGCAATTTTGTATAAAATCCTGTAAATTCTAATGATATTTCATAATGACCTGTAAATATATATATATTGTGTAATGTCAACAATAATGAAAATGTATCTAAATTAAATTATTAAAGCTTAATGAAGCTTATATCTCTTAAACTGTTACCTTACAGAATTTTCCTTGCAGTTTTACGGTGGCTTCAGTCGGAAAGGTTTGAGTCGGACTAGTTTACTCAGGGCCGTAACCATAAACATGAGAGGTACAAGTCGATATCAATAATTAGAAATGGCCAAATTGTCCCCTTAATATTGTAAAATCTGCTGCACGCCATTATGCTGCACTCTGTTTGTTATTATGATGACTAAGGTTTAAAAGTTACATTTTTAGCCTGGTCTAACGGCGCTCGTTACTGTCAAAGTGATAGAGATCGCCGATCAAATCGAAGTAGGCGGGATTTATTGTTCACAGAAGCAAAGCGCGAATTCCAGAGCGTGTTGCCAAGTCTGCGAGCTACTTTTATATTGTTGTCTCGGTCGTTTTTTTGTGCGAGGTTTGAAGCGAATCATCTCTCCATAAAAAGTAACTAAGTAACGTAATTCGTTACTTTTTTAGGGAGTAACGCAATATTGTAATGCATTACTTTTAAAAGTAACTTTCCCCAACACCGATCATCTCGCCCCTCAGAACGCTATATTGACTGAGGAGGACCCCACCGGAACGCGATTATGTTGCCATTTTAATAGCCAATTTCCCCCGGAACGCAATAATTGGGATAATTTTGGCCGTGATTGGGCAAGTTCTGAGTAGCAATTGGACTGATTTTATTACGCAGACCTGGCAACCCTGTATCCAGAGCGAGCGTCAGTTTTCACGTTGAAAGACAGCGAGGTAAGATTGAAGTAGCGAAAAACATACAATATTTGACAACTGTTTTAGTATAAATTATATATTTTGTCAAACGACCGACAGTAACATCCAGGGATGCAAACTACTCAAGTTGTTTTCTTAAAAACTGAAATTAAAATTGAAAATATGGTACCATTTACGTGATTCATGTAGGCTTAATTCCTAAATATGACGATATATGCAACGTTCTGCGTTTTTGTCTTATATCTTTATTATATTTTTGTCATATTATTTGGAAATCGTTCAAAATGATTACTTCCCAACTAGAATTAGACATGGAATTTCCTTCAGTGTTCTATTTCTTTTCTTCTTTTTTAAATCTTATATATAACTGGTCCCCCCTAATGTTCTAGACATGATTATGACTTTGTGTTTACTGTTAACTAATGCTGCACAGTAAATACTGTATACTGCCTACTATTTTTCAAAACAAGTAAAACAATGCAACGATAAACATTTCAAAGCAGTAGTATGTGTCATTGTTGTCACATGATCTTTCCACACTGAGTGGTGTCATCATTTAACATTTTTAATTGAATTATAATTTAAAATAATTCAATTTTGCTTTTCTTTTTTCTAGCTTTCGTTTATATTTGTATCATACCGTTTTTTCAGCCATGTTCCAAGTCTTCTGAAGTAACAGAATAGCCTTGCTCTCCCTGGCGAGATGTTAAAATCACAATTGTAATTATTTCTGGTTCATTTGTCGCATTAGTAATGGAAAGTCAAGTTGAGTGCTTTATGGGATATACATTATTCTGTGCATCGTTCTCTGTTGTGTACTACACAAGTTGTCAAATGTAGGAGGTCGTGGTCATTCTATGCATCCAGAACGTATTGCACACATTATTAATGCTATATACTTCAGAAATATTGCGAGTATTATGGTAGCATACTACTCACAGGCTCATTAGATTAACCAGAAGAACAATATTGAATTTGTTCTCAGTCATGTTGTGCGTTTAATCCCATTGTAGGCCAGTTGGGACATGTACATGATTATGCTGCTCACAGTGCATTATCTCTTGTTTGTTTGAAATATGGATTCTGCTAACACGGCACACGACTAATATCTTTATGGTTCCCTGGAAAATGATGAGCACTTTAATAAGTTTTCAAGATTTTCAATAGCCCTTCAATGTGCGTTGACGTATTATGCTTAAATTACCATAAATCCACGTGAGCTCCATGCAGATGAGAGAAGATTAAGACACGTTATTGTCGCAGGTGATTGAGAGACGGGGTGAGATGGGTGTGTGTGCTTGAGGAGCGATTGGAGCGGGGTGTTGTGCCCGCTTTATGACTGACTGGGTGCCAGAATGCATAATGGATGAAAAGGCAACACTTCCGCTCCTCTGACAAACAGAGAGGGGAAAAAAGCAGTTCTCATGGGCGATGGAGGCTGCCACAGGGGACATTAAGGCAGAAAGGCATGAACGTCATTCCACTACACTATGGGCTCGGTGTAAAAGAATGGCCCTGTAGGCCAAAGGAGCTGCAAAATGAAAGCTAGGTCGAAATAGAGTTCAGAAATAAAGATTGTTCACCTTAACAGAACCCTTACTGATGCACAAACACACGTTCATTTTTAAAATTGTTATTTTTGGGCAAGAAAAAGTCATGGGAATCATGGCCGTACCCAGGCTTTTTTTGGGGGGGGGGTGTAGATGGGGGTTGGTGTTCAGTGTTGCCAGATTGGAAATGTCCAAGTATCGTACCAGAAGCTCAAAATTATCGTATTTCGAAGAAAATTATCGTACATGAGTCAAACGTACAGAATACAGCTATTTATCTAGACCAACAACTTTTTGACACAACCTGCAAATTACCACAATAGATAAAAAACTAGATAAATAACTCCACCTGTGAGTCGCTGTCATCGGAAGCCTGCGTGTTGCCAGATGTAGAGGGGGTTCTCGCCGTCATGTACCGCAAGATAGTGCTCTTTGGCTTAAAAGAAGGGCACCCTCCTGAATTCTTAACGAGCGCATTTGTAGTGTCTGTAATGAGCCGATTTCGTGGATGAGTATAGAAACTCTATGATTTACAACTATCATCATTTGAAGAGTCACAAGATTCTGAAATTATCGTACATTATGGGATTTTTTAAATGATTGATCGTACATCGTACAGAGGTCAAAATTATCGTAGAAATATGATAATTATGGTACGTCTGGCAACACTGTTGGTGTTAAAGAATTTTGTTATAATCTTTTTTGATTGCTTTCAGTTTAAGTGCCGGCGATGCAGTGTTGTCAGATATTAATACTAAAACAAACAAAAAATAAACCGAAATTATTTCCAATCTTTTGCACATAAGATAAGATAAAGATATCGCCTGCGCCGTCGCTCACAACTCTCTGAAGCCTCGTTCACTCCGCCAGCGTCTCGCAGCGATCATTTTCATAACGGGGACACTAAACATTCTTGCAAACTGTCTAAACTGAATTATACATGTCATGCAGGCATTCATATGAGGTGTTTAACAGCAAATTAGTCATTCAAAGAACAAATGTTATTTTTGAAAATGAAAAATTCTGGACCTCGGTGGCCTCATAGCTGGATACGGGCCTGATGGGAATGTCTGTAGTGAATACAAATTTTGTTATGTTTATATAGCTCTAAAATATTTCAGTGGCTAGAAATACATTTTTGGAAATATAAACTGATTTTTAAAAAATATTTAACAACAAATGATTGGAAGCATCCAAAATCATGGGAATTCATTGGTTACGAAATGTATGAACCCTAAATACTTGTTTGTACTGCATCGCTGTTTATCTGTTTTATTATGAATTTATCCTCACAATGGCTTGAAA